TGCTGCTGCTCCTGTTCCCTGCATTATCTGTTCTCAAGTTGCTGTTCTCTGCTGCAAAACATTTTTAAAAATTTCACTTGACATGTATTTCTTTCGCCCTGTTCCATCTTTCAACACGATGACAGCTTCCTCACACAGCTCCCTCATTCAGCTCCATCGCTATAAATTTTCGAACCCTATAATTTCAAATAGGTACTGCTGTCCTCAAACTTATCAGAAGTTTTTTCAGAATATTAAAAAGTAGACAATATGGTGAAAACCGCACCGGCCACCGCCACGCCGCTGAGCTCGCCACGTCGGGTCATGTTTTTACGTGCAAGATGCAGAGACGGAAAGTGGCGTTGCGCTGCCTTCACTTCTTGTCTGCCTCACTTGTCTGCCTTACCTGTCTGCATGCTTCACTCGCCTGCCTCACTTGTCTGCCTCACTTGTCTGCCTTACCTGTCAGCCTCACCTGTCTGCTTCACTCGCCTGCCTCACTTGTCTGCCTCACCAGTCTGCCCCACTCATCAGTTTCCTTGGACCTAGCCACTGTCCTGGCCTCAGGTCGTCGCAATTAAGCTTCTCATCCTTCAGGATGTATGTTTGGTGGTGATTTATACACCCTCGCGTGGGCTTTTGCTGGAGAAATTATGTGATTGAACGAATTTATCGGCGAAGCTTATAATGGTTCCTTCGGAAGCACACGGAAGAATCAAATAAGAGGTTATAATATTTACTCGATACGCGTGAAGTCTTTTATCGTAAACTTTCGTTGATCTTGAAATGCATAAAAATGCTCTGATCAAGAAACTACGTCGTTCCTGATGTTTGCTTCAATGAATTAATTAGATGGAGTTTCCTCCATGAGTAAGTTTGCTCTGCACTGCATGATTTCGTCCCTGTATCATCCTCTTTTGATGATTGTTTTGCAATCGTTATTTCATTCAGAGGGGAGTTCTATCCTGGGTTCATTGCTGTTCGAGACTTAATTATGAAATTCTGGCACATCCATTGGGCTATTTTTGCGTTAAATGCAGATGTTCTATGCATTTTAGAGAAAACTTGTTTATTTATTTAGATATATCTTTGCAGCCTCATTTTCAATTCCACATAATTTTCGCCGCGCAGCGTTTAGAACTGAAAGCGTTCCTAGAATCCAGAATAAAATGAAATCTCAAGTATTGCGAGGAAATAATTAATGCTTGCTCGTGCATCCTGAATTAAATAAGACCACAAGACTTGGAAGGGGAGAATTATCCGTTGCTTATTGATGATGAGCCAAAATTCTTTGCTCAGGATATCGTCCTGCAGCTCAAAGTAAAGTAGAGAGTTTCAAAAATCGTATCACATTTGCCAAGTATCATGATAATGCAAATGAAAAATAGGTTGGCAAATGATACATTAAATTATGAAATAATTACAAAAGTTATGTGTTACAAGTAAGTGATATTTTAAGGTAGCGGAAGTAACTGTTCTTTTTTTCTAATGCTCGTCGTCGTTTATTAGCTACTTTCCCCAAATCTGATAACGTGGACAATTTCCGTGTGAATACTGCATACTTAAAGGATATAAAGAGTCGTGAAGGGACAACACTTGATGCTGGCAAAGATGGTTTGTTGAACCTGACAGGTGAAGATTGAATAGATATAAGAAGCTTGGACGCATAAATATAACGAAATGCCCAAAACATGCTGCCTCATTTATACTTAAGGAATATAGTTCCATGTTAGTTCGAAACGAATAACTTAATAAAATTGTGAACATTTGCATGATTAAGTCCCAGATCTCGATAACTTTGAGTTCAGATAATTAGTCACGTGATCTATGCTGTCGAGACCTCGGAACACAAACGCCATAACCAGATTAACCGTCGTGAATGTCTGATATGGAACACAGGCATTAATTTTTAGATTCTCACATGAACAAATTCGTCTCACAGTCTCCGAATGAAGACTTCACTTTTAATTTCCTGCAGCTCCACAGGGATGAAGATCTGCTACTGGCTGAACCAACAGTTCAATGAGATTAGAAAGGTTGCTTGCAGAGACGTACCTCTTATCATAGGATATTGCTCGATAAATTATCGTGATTTCAAAGTTAAGTTGTTTTTAAAACTTATAATGTTTGAACGGGAATAATTTCTTGATAGCTGAATGAGTCACTTAATAAATTATTCATCACTCATTTGAGCACGGATGTTACGCAAATATCGTGACGCTCAGCGTTTACGTTGAACAATGCAAAGCTCAAAATTGCGTTAAATGTTGCAGCAACATCTAATGTCACATGTAGGCGTCAAGTGTTTCCTTGCTGCATACCTTCAAAAATTCTTTAAGTCTTGCAAAAAAACCTTCTCACGCCACGCTTGCGTTGGATTAAAAAAATCCGTATGATGTACGTGGACCCGATCTTTCTCAATATTCACGATGATGCATAAGAATGCTTCCATAAATTTATATTGTTGCATGATGTAGATCTTTGCCCCTAGTATTAAATCGGCAAATTACAAATTTTCAATTATTTTGATTACAAAATTTGTGCATTTTTAATTTAAATGCCCTAATCTTGCCCGGGAGTCTGCGAAGGCAAAGATCATGCCGCAACTGATCTCTAAGATAATTCCTAGTTGTTTACATGAGTTTGCCCTCTGAGATTTTATGGAGGCGAGACCCAGGCAGCTACCGAGCAATGGGCATCTTAGAGCGCTACTGTGCAGCGCTACCGTGTTACACGGTCTGCCCACCCCACCTCACCCTCCTCATACTTCCTATCCTGCTGGTTTCTGCCCTATGCCTCGAACGCTCACTAACCTCACACGATTTGTTGACTAACTATGGTGCAGGTTACACTCATCATGTTTCTGTATTACAGCGTGAAATGTTGCTCTTGAAACATTCTGTTCAATGCTTTATTTCTACGGCGTTCACCACACCTGTGGCGCCCAAGGTTCAAGTCAGTTTGTCTCTTTCCGCACCCCACGCCCTCTGCTCCATTCGTCTTGACATGCGGATGCGAAGACGGATGAACTCCCATCAATTGGCCTTACATGCGGATGCTCGCAAATATAATCATGAGTTTTTGTTATTTTCTAAATTACATTCAGTCAGACTCTTTAATTTTGTTGTTATATGTATATTAGTATATAAACATCAGTAGAAAGTATCTCCATTAATGCACTGAAACAATTAAAAATATTATTGACGACATTAAATCGGCGCAAGAATCAATGATACTGATTTACTATTAAACAAAATATCAGACCCGATTCATGAGAAGCGCAAACTTTACGGAAATTTCAACAAGTATTGTGAAGCCGTTTCATAAATGTCGGAATCAGAACGGACGTTTGACTACTGAAGTATGCACTCTCTTGTGGAGTCGCATTTAGATCGTTTACATATAAATATAATAAACTTTAATGCATCTGTAAGATTCATACGGAAGATTTCAATTTTTAAATAAATTTGAAAAAATTCCTCAATATTATCAAAGAAATTAATTAATGAGTTGCTGCATTATTGATTAGCGCAATAAAGTTGCTTATACTAATAAAATGACAAAGCGTTCGTTTGCTACGATTCATACATCCAGCTTTTGTACCCTAACATATGCGCGGACATCACTCCATTCACGTGGTCGCGCGTCTCGCTCATTTTAGTAGAATTCCGCGCGATTAATGGTTAGTATTCATGCGCAGCTCTCATCCCCGCTAGACAAATTACGAGTTAATATCAACAGTAGTTTTGTCGTCACTGTTGTAGACATTATGAAGCAGCGTCGTGAAATTACCGTCAACAACAGAGCAGAACCCGCCTGTTAGGCCGTCACGATGCGCATGCGCCAGCAATAAATGACGACCGCTGCGCACGAGTTAGCCCTGAATGCCTTGTGGCCGGATTCATTGTTTCTCTCCCTGTGTTATTCTTGCCAGAAACGTAAATTGATCGAACGGGAAAAAATAATTATTATGCCTGTTGGTTCATTAAAGCTGGCAGGTGAAGATTGAATAGAAAAAAGAAGCTCGGACGCACAAATAGAACTGAAGTCCCCAAAACATGCTGCATGTCTACCGTCTCAAGCTGTCGTGCATGCTTATATAGCGCGTATAATATTCCTATACACCATGCAATGCGAACCCTGAACTGGTGTTCATAAGCTCAGCTTATGAACACCAACCTGAAGGCATTAAACGCACGTGGCAAGAACACCAAGCTGAAGGCATTACACTCGCATAAAAAGGTTTGTAATTGATTTCAATGACTTTTTCCAATTCCTTTACGGACATTTACGACAGGAGGAATGCCTATTTTTTCTGCCCACAGTGACATATAGGCAGTTAAGCTGTTTATTGCGCGATTGAAAACTCAGAGAATATCCTGCGTTTGTACACAATATAATTTATATCAACATATAGGAACAATTTGATTGTTAAAATTAACCAAAATATAATATTCCGTTGGGTATGGGTACGCAAAACATATGAGTGTAGATGAGCACTCAAAAATTTCAAATTGGATCATTACTTGTCTTGCATTCAATATCAAGACAGCTTCTCTCGTTTATTACAGCCATTTGATATTAAATATAAGGTCATGTGGCAGCACAGGTATTATCTATCTCGTATGTATAAACAGACTCAGGACCGCACACAGCAGACAAGCGATGTGCTTTGCCCTTCTGGCGTGGTGCGACACTATTCAACGTTTCTAATAAAATGCAAGATAAAGAATGAAAACTGCTTCTTTATCACCAATGAACGTTTTCGTCCTTTTTGTTATGACATCTCTAACAATTCAGCTTTTTCTTGCGTTCTACTCCCGTAGACTTACCGGGCACCTGAAGGGGCTGTTGCACGAACACAACACTGCGGTGCACGGGGACAACATTTCTGCGCATAAGGACGACACTGCGGTGCACGGGGACAACATTTCTGCGCATAAGGACGACACTGCGGTGCACGGGGACAACATTTCTGCGCATAAGGACGACACTGCGGTGCACGGGGACAANACCCGACCATGAGGCGTGTTGCAGGCAACCCGACCATGAGGCGTGTTGCAGGCAACCCGACCATGAGGCGTGTTGCAGGCAACCCGACCATGAGGCGTGTTGCAGGCAACCCGACCATGAGGCGTGTTGCAGGCAACCCGACCATGAGGCGTGTTGCAGGCAACCCGACCATGAGGCGTGTTGCAGGCAACCCGACCATGAGGCGTGTTGCAGGCAACCCGACCATGAGGCGTGTTGCAGGCAACCCGACCATGAGGCGTGTTGCAGGCAACCCGACCATGAGGCGTGTTGCAGGCAACCCGACCATGAGGCGTGTTGCAGGCAACCCGACCATGAGGCGTGTTGCAGGCAACCCGACCATGAGGCGTGTTGCAGGCAACCCGACCATGAGGCGTGTTGCAGGCAACCCGACCATGAGGCGTGTTGCAGGCCCCGACCATGAGGCGTGTTGCAGGCAACCCAACCATGAGGCGTGTTGCAGGCAACCCGACCATGAGGCGTGTTGCAGGCTCCGACCATGAGGCGTGTTGCAGACAACCCGACCATGAGGCGTGTTGCAAGTCGCCCATTATTGAAGCGTACAGCGTTTGTTAAACAGTCCACCATTGAAGAGCACAACCTTATTTTTAAATACTTCGTCGTGTTGAAGCTAATTCAGCTAATGATATCTCAACTATTTTCTATCTCAACTATATCTATTATTTCAACTAACTGTAGATATCTCAACTCTCAAATCAGGAAGTTTCCGTGAATCACCCTGCACTTAGTAAGAGTAAATAGTATAAAGGATGACGGCAGGATTCCGAATGATGGTATTTTGAATAACGGAATTCGGTATGCATGATGGGATTCAGGATGACGGCTGTCGGGATTCGAGATAACCGAGCTCTTTAATTTTATGGGTTAAAAATACTGGGCAATGCAGTTTGTGGAGAAGTCTCGCATTGGCAAGTCTTGAATAAAATTCAGACAGAGTTCGGACAAATGTCGAATGCAAAACGCACGAATTGTCGATCTTGGATTACGTGGGGCTAACCAGCTGGAGTAACACAAAATAAAAATAAACGAAATATGTATACACATTTTAAATTATGCCTAAAGATAAAAATTATAAAATACAACGTGTTTATTCCGAACGGTAACATAATAGAGGAAATTCTTCGATGAGTTAATGTCTCGCGGGTCACAGCCCCATGACGCACAAATGCACGTACGCCGCTCGCCCCACCAGCCTCAATCCTAATGAGTCTTAATCCACAGAAATGTCCTACTTGCGCTGCTCCCTACACCAAGTATCTGAAGCGCAGTGGCCTCCGCTTCTTCATTTGCTCGCCATTGTAGGAATTGCGCGCCGGTCAAGCAATTCTGGCCTCTGCAAAGGTCGAGACTCGAGTCACTCTCAGGTGTTCTCGTCCAGTAAGGTTTATTGACTTGCAATATCCGTCCTTAGGAGCGCTGGTGGCAGGCAGGGGTAAGCTGGTCGGCATCCCTAAGTAACTCAGTATCAGGGCACTTCGCATTTTATCTCCTACCGAAATCAGTTGAAGTCTTCGGCACCGCTGGAAAGACGCAGCCTCGCCACAAAATTTCATAGGCTACTTTCTCGACGGCATACCAGGGTTTTTATGACACTTTATGTTAAAATTATCTTCCTGTGCGTAAACCCTTTAACTTTGCTTATCAGTAGCGAGGTGGTCATGTTTTCTTATGTGTTTAGGCGTTAGTTGGAAGGTAGGTTTCGGCGTGGTTCCTGTAGCCCCATGAACAGGCTTGCATCGGGCCGAGATCAGCCTGCTGATCTAGCTGGACACGGAGGCAGGATCTATGTAAGGCAAGATTCAAGGAGCAGCAGGCAGCCTGCCACTCACATCCTACCGCAAACGCAGCTCCTTTAGAAGCTGTTTCCCTTGAACACTCAAATAACTGGTGGCGCTCAACAATTGTGCAGTAGTATTGAGAGAATGGAACGCTGCAAGTGAGTAAATAGTTTCACAACTTTTCACAATGCCTACATATTTGCATACCGTCATCAATCCTTAGTGTCACCTCTAGTGCTTAATAGGAATCATCATTAAGAAGACAGTCATAGTATAAGAGATACGGCGCGGCCACGGCTATACGCCTCGGCATGTGCTGGACGTAGCCAATGCGCCTGAGGACTCGACATGCCGCGGCCACAGCACCAACCACTCAAGCATTCCCTGCTGTTTGAGTCCCCGCCATTAAGTCTGTTTGATTACATACTAACGAAACATCAAGCACAAGATATCAGGACCAAGGAGTTTTTAAAGTTAATATTTCACGCGAGCTACCGCGAGTTGACGTATAGAAGTTATCGACGTCGAGCTAACCTGCTACCGAGAATGTTCGACCGATAATCGGCTATAGTACGACATTCCTGAGCGACGTATTGAGACTGAAGCAGGTATTGTGGGGAGATAATCACATCCACGACGTTATTACTTTTTTCTAGCCTGATTAAAGCTGTCACTTGCTTATGTTAACTGTTGCTAGTTGCTGGCAGAGAGCTGGCAGAGCTTTGCAGTGTTCATTGTTAACAGGAACTGTCACTGACTGCAGACTGCAGGTGCTGGACGACTGACAGAGTCTTGCAGCGTTGACAGGAACTGTCACTGACTGCGGGCACTGGACGACTGGCAGTCGTCCAGCAGCGCTGACAGGAATGGTCTCCCAAAAACTTTAATGAAGCCAGCAGTACATAGAAGAAAAATATAGCAGTTAATGCGCTATGCTTCTTCTTTAAACTCGGCAGTGCTGTTTGTTTCCCATGAAATGATTCCTGGTGGATTTATAATCACCATTTTACTCAGTGACATTATATATGCGAACAACATCGACGGCAAACTTAATAATAAACTCGAAAGTTACATGAAAAACTAAACATTTATATGACAATGAAAAATAGTGAAACAGAAGAACATAAACTGCAACTACATTAGCCTACACGTAATAATGGAACTGAAGCAACACTGCATTGCTGTCAGGGCCTCTTGCTATACAAGTCAAGAGGCTCGTGACTAGCAGATAGGCGAATGGCGACACAAGGCGCGGGCATTGACAGCTTGGACGCTTGTCAGACGTGTTGCTACGTCGTCACTTGGCCCTCAGAGTGACGACACAAGGCGCGGGCATTGACAGCTTGTCCGCTTGTCAGACGTGTTGCTACGTCGTCACTTGGCCCTCAGAGTGACGACACAAGGCGCGGGCATTGACAGCTTGGCCGCTTGTCAGACGTGTTGCTACGTCGGCACCCGGTCTTATCACCTCAATTAGGCACGTTGCTGTATCTCACGCAGTGATTCGTGAACTTTCCAGAGGAATTTGTTAACATAATAAAAATAACGTAACCCAAGATGTAAGTATTCATCATTAAGACAATTAAATCAATAAAGGAATTTTCTTGGAATGAGACTGTCGCCATTAAATGAACTTAAAAGGTAAAATTCATCAGTAATCTCTTTTTGCCATTAATGGACGAATTTCGTTCACAATTTTGGCATATATGTTGTGTGATATAACGTTACAATTTTTGTTAGGCTTCATCTAGACATAATCATGAAGGATGCAAAAAAAACATTTAATTTTTAAATTCCAAGCAAATATTGCAGACTAGTAATTATTTGAATACTTCAACGCTACTCTGAAAAAATTGCTTAACCAATGCAGCTAAAACGATGCATTACAGCCGCCTCGCTAACGACAGCGTTAGCATTATTAACATTAACAGCGTTAACATCAACGCCGTGTTCTGGCCAGTTCCTGTACGCTGAATGCAATCCATTCGAACGCACCACAAGTTATATTTTTAAATTTAGATGCTCTTTCAAATAATTCCCTGAAGATTCGAGGGAAATATTTCGTAAGAAGTGACCTCATAGTTCTGGCTTGCGAACTCCAAACACTCCAGACTATATAGAATCCCCTGCGGGTCGTATGTGTTGTCTGTCATCCAAATCCAAAAAGCCGAATATACTCGTATTAGCTGATAAACGAAAAATGATTCAAATGAAATATATACATAGACATGAACACGATAAAATAATTCTTCCCTCATTGCTCATTCAAATTCATGTTTAGCGAATCACTAAGTGCGAGTTCAGCCAAGGCTTGAAATGAAAACTCAACTCATTTTTCAACATTTATTCAATAACACGAACATCAATATTTTAAATTTTAACACAATTAAAGCATCTATCCTAAAAACTAAACACAGTAATGATTGCACTATGACCATATCGCAATACGCAGCGCCCGCCATCACTATTTTGTACACAACGGAAGAGCACCACAACAGTGAACTATAGTTTACTCCAAGGGCAAGTTAAACTTGACCTGAGTGCATTAAATAAATTTTATCCCGATTTTGTGTCAAACTGGCAACCTTAAATTTGCATAATTGACCTAAAAGTGAAAATGATATGTCTTGTACATAATTTAATTGACTTAGGAAATACCGAGATAGAAAAAAATGCCGACTTAACAGCAATTTTCATTAATTTTCACGTACGTGAATTAAATGAATTTGAACTTGGCACTGTTGCTTCATGCAATTGCGAGAAAACCTTAATGACCGCAAAAGATTCCAGATACTGTTGAATTTATTCCTGGTGTTTTCTAGCAATAAGATTTTATGCAAAAATCAATCATGAGCTCAAGAGTTTATTATTTCTTTGGCAGTTGTACGGATCAATGCTATATCTAAATGATCAATAAGTTTCTATAATGTTTTCGAACTGATGGGATAAGCATGCTATAGAATATAGATCATAGTAGCCTATGAAGAGCATAGTAGCTTATGAAGATCATAGTAGCTTATGAAGATCATAGTAGCCTATGAAGAGCATATTAGCTTATGAAGATCATAGTAGCTTATGAAGATCATAGTAGCTTATGAAGATCATAGTAGCTTATGAAGATCATAGTAGCTTATGAAGAGCATAGTAGCTCATGAAGATCATAGTAGCCTATGAAGATCATAGTAGCCAAAGTACTATGAGTTTGGCCGCTCCTAAGCAGGTGGTTTTGCATTCGGCCTAGCCTACTATTCGTATAACGTAACCCCGACTCTCCACCAAAACAAAGCTGAACGATAACAATTCACAACCTAACCCAATTGGCTGTTGGAAATAGAAAAGACGGGGCAAGTGGGCAAGCCAAGCCGCTCATTGGCTGCAAGAAGGTGGGTTAGTCGGGGCAACGTGAGTAGGTGAGGCCGGATAGTGGAGTGCATGTTTATGAGCATGTCTGCTTAAACAGTGACTGTGGACACAATGCGCTATTAGGTATTAGCAGTGAGAACTGATCTGACTTGCGGTGATCCAGCGTGGTCTGCGGTCTCTAGCTCTGACAGTGCGATTAGTTATTGCATGCCGAGGTTAGGCGTTGGCTCCAGGGCAAATGTAAGACTTTAATTTGTGGCATTCGGCTGCGCCCCATTGAGAGCCCATAATGAGCAGAATTTCATGCGGACACACTTGGGGTTCCGTGTAGCCAGGAGTGATCTCCGATATCACAGTCACAGGGATCAGGTGCTTATTAAGCATAAATGTCTCATTGGTTTTGTATTCGATATACTAATAGCTTTGTACCGATTAGCTCTACAAATGTAGCCAATTCTATTTTTCAGGCCTGGACGATAACGAAACGAGTCAAGATGTCCCGCATTGAAAAATAGTTCCGGCAATTTAACAGAATTAACAACTTTTTAACGTATATAAAGATACATCACGAGATACAACAATTAATCATTAATGTAAAATTAAACAGTTATAATGTTTGAGAGATCTCGCGCTGTCTTGAAAGTATTCCCACAAATTTTGCACCGACCACAGCCCCGGTACACACGACGGTCATGATACATTCATCGTTTATTTCATCTTTCAAAAACAGTTCAGCTTTGACCTTAGTTTCGTGGCATCTTGCGGACGGATTGACGATTTGAATTCAAAGAGCGCCGGATAATAAAGTTAACATAAAAATATCAGAAATTATTTTAAATCCAGTAAGTATCTATTGGCGTGAAAACTCCCCGAGTAGTGACCTGGCCTTCCAATACCAAGCAATAATGAAACCAGGCGAGTCTATGTTAGACAACCCAACTAACAAGAATGGCTGCCAAGTTGCATGGGCAATCAAATGTCCTCAAATCAGCTCAACTGTAAATTAATAATTAAGCGTTTGACTTGCTGATCCTTTATCCAAACGTTCGTAATGTCTAGTATTGTAATGGAATAAGTCGCTTTCTCTCAAATCGTTATGCATGTCTTGTACTACATACATCTCTCTCAAACCGTTCATGTTTCGATACACACCTTTTTTCGAGAAAATTTTTCCAGTCTCATTATTTTTCCAGGACATTCTTCGTCCCGTTTTCCAGATCAATTTCCAGAAAACGATTCTCAGAATCTCGTTTAGTGTTCATTCTCACTCTGGACTCAAGCTCAGTTTTTCACAAGTTCTGCCGGTCGACAACTTTTCAACGTATTTCGTCGTCTGTACACACTTGACACGAATATCTCGTTCACTGTGTTTCAATTCCAATCCAAACAGGAGGGTTCCTTGATATCAAGTTAGGAGGCTTGCTGGCAATTAGTATCTGATCAAATGGTCGGCGTATATAGTGATCTATTGTAAACTTAATCAATATTGTTTAGTCGGGTTATCACAGGAATACTTCAAATATCTCGAACGGTGGACAAATTCCCTTCACTATGAGACGAAAAACAACAATTTTTCTGAACTCGTACTTAAAGTGAAATTAAAAGATAACACTAACTACTCATAATGTCTTCAATCATGAAACCTTTTCTTTTCGGTCTCCCCGGGGCATTCGGTTTCACCTGTTGGAATACTGGATATGTGTAACGATTTTGATTTTGAGACGAACTGGTATTTTCTGCAAAATTTTGAAGAGGAAGAGTAGCTGAAGTTTCGAAATTAGAATAATACTCTGCTTCACGTCTGGGGACCGAGTTAAACGACGTAGAATGTCTTGTCTCCTGTGCCATAGTTGGAACCAACAAGATTGCATTTGATGCATGAAAGACGAAGTCAGGCCTAGACACATAAGCATTTTCATGCGAGTGCTGAGAATGGCTTGCAATAGAATATGAGGGAATATGCGGCCCATTTGATCGCACAGTAGAAATCGCCGAAGCCAGCTGGGAGCCTGAGCCGAAGGAAGTATTGAGATTATCACAGTCTTTTACTATAAGGTTTCGTTTGAAGTCGTAATTATGTGAATTTGGATGGCCACTATAATTAGGAGGTAATGAATGCACGAAAACATTCGTATCATGGCTGGGTGATGGTCTCAGAGAGGAACTGGTATCATAAGGAGATGTAAATGAAGAAGACTGTTGGCTATCACAACTGAAGGAGGTTCCTTCAACACCGGAGTGGGCAACAGCTGGAAGGGAGTGAGGTGTTGTAGCACACGAAGTAGCAGGCGAGTGTTCTGACAGAGGATTACCTAGGGTGGAAATCTTTGAAAAACTACATAGCGGATTAGAATTTGGACTGTTCAGAACAGAATCCAGCTTCACCTTTTCCTGGAGTGTCCTATCGTGATATCTAGGAACTGCCGAAGGTGACTCTCTTGGGTTCATACCACAGGTCTCCGTTGTTTTAGATCCCAGTGAATAGAAATCTGAACGTCGTGTAAACTCGGAGTAGTTCACATAAGAGAGGTTTTCCGCATAGTTCGGACCATCGCCATTACGAGTGTCGCAGGGCTGGTCCTCTTCGGGCAGCGATTGGTTTCGTTCTAGCAATTGATCGATGTTCCGTTTTTGTGATGAACGAGATTGGAGCGGTTGCTCGTTGACCAATCCTGTACTCAAATTAATGCTTGTATGAAGGTTTAGCGCGTTCTCAGTAGAGTGAGGCGACTTGTATGCACTCGAGTTACATGCTACAGATGAAGGGGTTGAAGAATATGATTCAGAAACTTGCAATTCTCTGTAATGCTCAGTGTGATGATCGGTTTGCTCGCAAGCTTGTGAAGAATAGTTAGCAAAGGAAGTAGATTTTTCAACTGGAGTGGACGAAACATTCAGATCCTGGATTGCTGGGAAGTGTTTATTCATATCACGAGTCTCACACACGGCGCTCTCTTTGGCTAAACCTGCAGTCTCATTTGGGTCATTTTCAACGGATTCTTCGTCTGTTTCTTCATCAATTGGTGAAATTCGGTCGGATCTGCAAAAAGCGTACGTATCGTCAGGTCGTCCAGGATCGATTTCTTCATCTTCGTCGTCATCGTCAGCTTCTTCTGGTGAATAATCTTCATAAATGTCCTCATTATTTCGTTTTTGAGAGCCGACAATAATATCTGACTTGGGACCTGGGGCGTTACCTTCGGGAAGCAGGGTTTTATTTTCGCCAGATTTTTCGGTAGCGAGATGTCCACCGATGGTGTGGGTTAGCATGTGTCGGCGGAGATCACAGTTGCGCCTGAAGACAGCACTACACGAGGAGCATTTGTATGGCTTGTGGTCCGTGTGGGTGAGTAGGTGTGTTTTCAAGTTGCTACGTTGGTTGAAGCTGCGACCACACGTCGGGCACTTGTGAGGCGACTCGTCCATGTGAAGGATTTTGTGCACAGCCAGAGTCCGACTTTGGCAAAAACCTTTGCCACATTGGACACACTTGAATGGCTTTTCCTTGCTGTGTATATACCTGCATTGAAAAAAATCAGAGTTTTAAAAATGTAAAGCAAACCAAAATCAGAGATGTTAATAAAAAATAAATAAACTAATGAAATAAAATACTTTTCATGTTCTTTTAATATATTTCAATCAAATAAATGCAAGAACTGATATGAAAATTATCGCATACAAGTTTCGAAGTAGGATCTTTTGAATGAAAGTGTAGAAGCTTTTACAAAACTTTTAGGATTTTAAAAATAATTTACGAAGCAGCTGAATGCTGATAACATCGCCGAGCTTATGGCAGCTACAGGAAGAAAGTTGACGGTAGAGAGAGAAGCGTATCGAGAGGCTGGATGCGGGGAGCGCAATAATGTCGAGTCATGTGGTGACAAAAGCTACCCGTCTCTGTCATGCTCGGCAGGTGCAGCTGCGGCTGCTGCTGAAGCTCACTATCGGCGCGGCGCTTTATTGAGAAGAACAACGCGAACCCAGCACTTATTTGACGAAACTATGCTGGCCACTTTAATTTCCACTAATCTCGACACTATGCTGGCGAGGCACTTATTCCGACACTATGCTGGCGAGGCATTTATTCGACACTATGCCTAAAACCGTAAATTAAATTATAAATATTTGTGAACAAATCTAGATACGTCAATGAGCAGCACGAATGTTTATAGGTAAAGCAGTGGAATGTTGTTGAACGCGGCGGTGACTTCAAACCCTCACCTGATTATTAAATACGTTATTGGTCCATTGATCGATTCTAAGCTTAGATGGAAATTTTAACTCAGAGCCGATATGTTTATAGCTCCAAAAATTTGTCTAAACCTTGTGATTTATCGATCGTACTGATTGAGCCAAATATTGATAGATACAGTTGAAGATAGTTGGCATTGTCCTGAACAATAAGTGTCAAATTTTGTCTCGTCAAGAGATGAGTTCCAGTTCAAGGTTTCATGCGCATCGAATTAAAAATGTCCACTTTCGACACAAGTATCAATGAAATACTCTCTAAACAGTAAACGATGAAAGTTATTTTCGAATTTCCTTAGTGTGTTAGGAAAACATTTACATAGAAAATCGGTTACAAGATTGCCTTTTGCGCGTCAATATTCAACCCTATCACTAAAATACGTACACCGAATAGGAGCGAAATTTCAAGCAAACGAAATACATCCTTCCTTTGAATTGCTTAAAGAGGAATTTCAATGGGTTCAATGGAATATGTAATTATTGCTTAAAGAAATTATTTATATTTAAATCACGGACAAATATATGATATTCTCCTTCATGCGAAGCTAGAATGTGCGAGCACAACATGTAGATTAGGAATCGTCTCAATGGTCGTAGGTTAGTATATCATTAAAACCCCACACATATCAATAACTCGCTTGGACGAATGTAAATAACAATAATGTCTTACATCACAATAGTTACTAATATAATAATTATTGTAATAATTGCAATAATTCAATACAATAATAATTATAATAATAATAATTCTTACTTGTGATCCCTGAGGTGATCCTGACGTCTGAATGCCTTGCCGCACACGTCGCAGGGGAAGGGCCGTTCGTCGGTGTGCGTGCGTTCATGTATAAGCAAGTTGTAGCTCTTGGTGAAATGGCGCGAGCAGAACTTGCAAATAAATTGTTTCTTGGAGCGTGGTGCTCGGGCTGCCACGCCTCTTGCAAGGCTATGCTCAAACATGTTCGACAACGAAGCATTACCGAGTCCGCTAGAACCCTGATGGTCCCCACTCATGCTGGGGCCCGGGAAGTTGGGTAGGGTGGGCACGGCATGATGGCCCCCCTCGCGGTCCGGGCTCACCGCCGACGGGCCGTGCTTGTCTCGCCGTGACAGAACTGGCCTAAACGCTGAGGGTGACGTGTCCGTCTGTGATAGCATGAAAGACAGCAGCTGTGAACGGCGGTAGCTTGTGCTGTTAGAAGCGACTAGAAACTGAAGATTATTGGTGCGCCGAAACTAATTGAACTCAACGAAATTCGACCAGGGAAGAGACAATTTAGTGCACAGGTACATATATGAATGCTGGCGATCTAGTAGAAAAAAATATGCTGCGGCATCCAGCCACTAATTATTATATAATTATATATAAGTTTTTATTTAATAAACATGCGTTACATTATAATAATGGTACTAATAATATAATAATAATAAGTGGTAAACGTTTCTCACAATATGTAATAACGGGAAGGTAAATACCGCACGGTCTCGGGTCATTGAGTGTACCTGATGCTGGAGGCTGCAGGGCAGCCCCCCACTGCCCCCCGGAGTGGCGGGGGAGTAGGGCGGGGGGCGAGACGAGTACGAGAAGTGAGGGTAGGCAGAGGGACCCTCTGAGAGGTGGGATACCTCCACCAGCGACATGTTGTGTCACGCTGTCCAGTCCTAAAAGCCAACAGGTAACAAAGTTGTATTGTGGGGCATAGAATCGGAAGACAAAATTAAAAATCTTGAAACTTTTTCAAGGATTTATATTGTGTTGAGTTTCAACTATGATAATGCGCATAAACGGAGACCCGGCATCGGTCGCATTCCTCGGCGGCTGACGATTGGCGGGAACCGATCTATATGATTGTATTCTTTTTTAACATTAAAACTAATGAGAATGAGGGATTTATTATTTTAGTTAAAAAATATAGTATCCTATGTGAACAAAAAGAATAAGTTGAAATAACTAACGAGAAGCCAAAGCAATTGTAAGATGCAACGAGCAATATTCACCGTACGGTAGGTCTAGAGAAGCTCAACGAGGGAGAACATTAAACGGTTATAAAATAATCGCATAAGATCAAAAAGAAATGACCGCCAAAATAATTTGTTTTTCATTTTAATGTTTAAAAAGAAGCCATCTTTTCCGATACAATATGAACTGCGTCCATTCAGGAAGGTCGTTGTAATTATTCAAAATTATGGAAGTATACCAAGATTATTAGTGCATGGAATAACTTAAAACACATTACCTTTCTGTTCGAGTGCACATTGCAAGTCAACCGAGTTTTCTGGGTCAATGATACATTAGTCATGTGGTCGATAATATACCCCTTATGGATTCAGATCCCGCGTTTAATGCATTCAAACCGACAACAAAGGAGCCAAAGCACTGAGCGGCGTCAGAACTTTGTTTTTGAGCAACGAATGACTTCTTTTAGACCAAACATAGCGGATGGGAATTTGAACGTAACGTAATTGGGGACAAAACAACTGACTAAAATACAAAGAAAAAGTTTATTCGAGACCAAAATATATATGACTCAATTATTCTAAATCAATAAAAATATATCAAATCAAAATTGGTCTAAACTCTAAAAAAATTGCTGTATGTGCAATGATCGACGTGTGAGCGGGCACATGGCCCTATGCTTCGATCTTCACCGCAGGAGAGCAAATGGTGGCCAAAAGCATTTCATCCACACATTTCATCATTACAGAATGAAATGAAATATTTCATCTCTATATAGAAATTCATCATTGGACATTTCATAATTGAAGCATTTCATCATTGACGCATCTCACCACTAGATATAGCACTTCATCATTGGGCATTTCATCACTGACACATTTCATAACTATGACAATTCATCATTGGCGCATTTCATCACTATAACATTACATCATCTACACATTTCATCACCATTACGTTACATCATGCAAATATAAGTGTATTTATAAGTAGTTAATAAACTGAGCAGTTAGATAGCGTGTAATAAATAACATTTATAGTGAGATATACGTACCATCATGGAGAGAACAAGTTTATTTGTAAACCAACACGAAGGTGAGGTTAGGTTACACCTGCATATTTTTATGTAGGCAAAATGCACGTTAATGCATTTGATGTAATTCGTCAATATCAATTGCTCGCTAACTGCACTTTATTTTTGGTTGTTTTAATCTCTATCACATGAGTGTGCTGAAAAATCATTCTGAGCGTTCTATACGTTTCCATGTCGACGGAAATAAACCAGAATGATCACGAGTAGTGCTACTTTCAAAAGGAACTCATCTTAAGGCACCAAACAAAAATGACTACAATGCATTGCATACCACCAGAGCCAGCTAATTGCACTGCAGACATAGTCGCTAAGTGAGAAAGACTACGATGCATACCACCAGTAGTGCTGCAGACATAGTCGCTAAGTGAGAAAGACTACGATGCATACCACCAGTAGTGCTGCAGACATAGTCGCCAAGTAAGAAAGACTACGGTGCATACCACCAGTTGTGCTGCAGACATAGTCGCCAAAAAAGATTGACTGGTCCCTCTAAGATAAAGAATGCAGAGCAAACCTAACAGAGATGGTGGCTGATATAAAATACTTCTCAAGAGCATTTACATATCAAATGAATACAAACCACACCACGTGCGACAGAAAAGGTGGCCAAATTACAACTTCTCTATTTGAAATTAAATTTATGATAAATAATGTAAAAACTAAAAATAGGTAATTGAGTGAATGCATCCAGCAGTAGACTTAAAAGTAACGGGTAAATGTTACACTTACAACACTCGAAGTCACCGATGTTAAACTGCTTCATGATGACAGAGTGCCAGTCAAGCAAGGACGACAAGTCGTTTACTATGTCCCAAGATAATAAGAACAATTCAAGTTATTCCAGAACACATGTGCTCATGTTAACAGGCATGTGTTATGAGCAACAGGAATGCTCGCTATCCTATAACGACGAGCGGTCGCCTTCCCAGAAGATAGCAGATGCGACAACTTTGGCGGCAGTCTTGCATTCCTTAGCAAACATTCAACTTTCTAACTGCCACATCCAGAACATTTATGAATTGGAATCAACCATTATTCCAGTTCAAATTAAGAATGGACTTCGATCTTCTTGTTTATGAACTTGGGTCGAACAAATAAGGCCTGATTTGTATTTTCTCTGTAAAATTCGATAGATTAGTTATAATTCAAATAAAGTTACCACAATTTGAATAATAGTAATACATTATATATATAACTACATAACATTAATACATATGATTTATTAAGCAAATGCAGGAATTTAAAGGCAGAGACAATACCACAAAAATTCACCATATCTTTATAAGAGATTCTCTTATAAAGATATGGTGATTTTTTGTGGCATTGTCTTTGCTTTTAAATTCCTGCTTAACTTGTGATTCAAGCAAACAAGTGATTTGAATACTTATAAAAAATGCATATTTGTAGCATCGCTATACATACATTTAAAAAATCATATCTAAAAGCATAACAAATATAATAAAGTATTCCTTATTTTCTGTTTTGTTATTATTATATATGTTATCTTATCCTCGACAATATGCATAAATAAGGATAAATTTATCCCAGGCATGTAATGAATGATAAACTTTAATGATTGATGAAAAACGCTTAAAAATTTTTAAAATGGAAAGAAGATCTGCAAACGCTTCGACTGACATTAACATTAAAGGCTAAGAATTTAAAATCTCAGGTCATGATATTTCCTCTGCAACTCCATGAATTAGTAGAAAGTTTTAGGCAGCCGAGTTTAAATCTCATTTGACATTGAATACGAATTAGTCCTACACTGCACATCAGATGAAGGGTACATAAAATATTCGATTTCCTAGACTTCAATAAGCTACATAGCATGAAACAAGGCCACGTTGAGTTACGAACGCACACCGGCATTTTATCCTCTTTAATTTCTTTTAAAATGTAGTGAGTCCAATAAGACTGTGGCGAAGGTTCGGTGAGTATAGATTTAGATTTTAGAGGAAAGATGTGTGTCATGACCAAAGTACTTGTAACCTAACTACGGATGAACACATCGAGTTAATGATCAAGTGCAGAAACTCAATTCCACGGTGTAATAACCATCGAGGAAATTATAAATTGTGCTCGTATTATAAATAATCCGACACGTTGCGAATTGATCAATATTCAATATTAATGAACGCTTTGGGTTCATTGCGTTGAGAATCATACATTCAAAAGAGCTTCACTGATTCACAGCCGAATATTCTGGCCTAACTATCACAAAGTAACAAATCATTAAAATAAAGAATAAATTTAATGCGCAAACGGCGTAAAAGTTCAGCGAGCGATTTTATTCCGATTCATGAAATCAGAGCACCGAGGCCGCGGATTTTGCGTATTCAGACTACATGCAGAGTTCAACGTGAGACATGGCGGCGCGGCTGAGCAGAGGTAGAATATGAGACAGCCCCACTTATACAAAGATAATTACTCTCGCAACCCTTAAACTGATGATCGTAATTCCTGTGTTCAGCTTTTATAAAGAAAGCACTAGCGGCACTTAATGAATCCTTGGACAGAATTAAGCAGCAAATTATCCACAGCCACAAAAGTAATGCCTGATTAGGCGGTGATACTTAAGGTATCCTGATTAATGTGTCTAAAGCATAGAACACCGTGAGTGGCTGCATGCACTTCTGTAACATGTTACGCAATAAATCATTAGGAATATCTATGCGTTATGCATAACACGCCACTCATGACACAACTAGCTGGCTGTCAGACCACGTTGACGACGTAAGGAAGTTTCTCACAACCTCGCCTTGTGATTATACACTTTTTAGTTAAAATCGGAATTTAATAAGATAGCATGAAGCACTATCTCTTCGCCCTCTTTAATGTGAACTTCAAATTTTGCGCCAATGCCCATTAAGTAATAAAATGTCATTATATTGTACTATGATAATTATTCGACTCCTAAGATCTTTAAAATAACATGATTAGACTTGAAAGAATCAAATAATTAATAACTAATCAAGTTAATACAAAAATTACATCATCAACACGAACAAAACGGGCCCGCATTACTCTCCAATTTATAAGATTTTTTTTTAACTTGAATCGATTTCAATATATACACAAGTTTCACCCAGTACTTTCAACGTATGTTGGAAATGGTTTAAATGCAAAGAAATATTATGAATGGCTATCAAACGCTCTTAGAGCCTTTTCTCTCGCACACTAATGACCGGAGAGCCACATATACATATCGGTCTCTCTCATACAGGAGTAAATGGAGAGCTGAGAGCCACATACACACATCGGTCTCTCTAACAAGAGTGAATGGAGAGGCAGGAGAGCTGAGAGCCACATGCACGCATCGGTATGCTCAAGATGTAAGAAGGCGGTCGGAGTCGACGCGCTTAGCACAAACTTTCGGAAAAGTGCCACTGGATCTCTCGCTCCGATATTGCACAGAAGAATCATCAATTATCATCGATTGCCTCTGCTTGAACTTCGAGTACACCAATCATCTTTTTCATAATGATCAAGGAATTCATATAATTAGTATTTTAAAACCTTTTTTTATTCTAAAAATTGAAACAAGAGTCAACGAGCCAAGATTAATTAGAATGATGCACTCATAAGTTATAGGCGACTGCTTACTGATGACTGCTCAGTGCAGTGCTCAGGTCAGTTGCATCATAATGCCAATTATGTCAATCATCTGAACTTGAATTAGTTACCACTGCTTACAAGTTAAATACAGAAACCCTATATACAGTTAATTCTTTTTGGTAACAAAACCTTAAACGATAGTAATGAATTAGAAGTAGCACGTCACCATCGCTAACATCACGACCAGCCTCAGAACTGCACCACTGATCTCATTCGAGCACCACCAGTCCGCATGCTCCTAGTCTCGCTGTCGTCAACAACACAGCCTAACTCGCTTCACAACTTCAAGCCGTTTCTTTTTTTAGAAGACCGAGAAAGAAACTCTGAAGAACGATATTGCTGAATTTTCAATTTCGAACACAACGCGAATGAGGATCTTAAAATTGTATAATGTTCATAATAACATAGCGAAGCCGCACAGAACTAAAATAACATCACATTTGGAAGCACAACTACTTAATTACAGGGACTATGAACGCTCTATCGCCTATTATTTACTGGACATTAATCTTGCCGATTGGGATGGCATGAAATGCAGTAGCGGCGTCTGCAAGCTGACAAAATCTTATCTCGTTGCATCGTCAAGAACTGGACACGGCGCCACAACAGCAGTGGCACAGAAGCAACTCTAGGAAGCAACCTGCTAGGCTACCACCTCACGCGGATGTGGTCAACATTGCCACCACTCGCCACCGACGTCAATTGGCTACTGGCTAGCCGCTCGCATTCCCAGTCTTCTCAGTTCCGACTCAAGGAGTTTTTCCGTCTGATGCTAGTAAGTCCCAGGCGAGTGTTTGCTAACATAACCAACAAATGGACTATCGTTCCGCAATCGTAAAGCGCGCATATTTAAACTTGATGAAAAGGAACTTATTGTTTGACGATCGTGTCGCGAGATCCCGTTTTCGAAGCATTGTCTCCACTCATCGACCTAGGCTACTCTGAAATAAAAATATATATGTGTACTTTAGGAGTGAATGGAGAGCGATGTGTGTTAGTCAATACTTTACTTTTTAATCATGTGCATTCCTAAAATTTACAGATCAGCAGGGGCCGGATTATCAAAGCTTCGTAACTTTTTGTACTTACGACAAAAAAGTTCTGTGGTACGTAAATACACCCTAATTTTGGCATTATCAAAACTTTCGTACGCAAATCTTAGCTAAAAGCCTAAATTTTTTTCCCGCGCCCATTTTTCTCGCGCAAATGTTTTTATAATACCACCGCTAGTATTACGTTGTCATAGCAACACCACTCGTAAGTCGATTTTGCGTACTTACGAAGTTTTGATAATACGGCCCCAGATTCTTGAGTATTTTGGATCGCTCTGGGTTAACCGTTATTATACACATTGTGCCGAAAACCCTCATTTATTGGAAATAGGGTTATTCTTGGTCAGTGTTTCAATTATTCAGGTAATAAATCAATTAACTTTGACGCAATGTAAATTGAAATTATTAAAATTTCGACATAATATGGAAAGTTCTGAGAACAATTAAGTTGGAGCAGTTGTAATGCAAAGTCAGGCAAGTGGGGATCTTAATAGATGAATGTCATCCTCAAAATTTCCCATTTCAGGTCAGGTTATATTTCTCTATCTTCTCAGAAGACTTTTTAATAAAGAAAATTTATATTTAAATGCTCATTCATTGTCTCTGTATGAGTTATTCAACTACGACATTCCGTAGAATGCTCCCGTCTAAATTTGAAAACATTTATTCCATTGTTAGGGCTAAGACATCAGTAGTAGACTGGTTTGTTAGCGCTTTGGCGATCAAGCTATTTCGCAGTTTTCGCACTGGAGGTCAAAACTCAAAAGCTAACATCGCCAGCTAGGCGGAAGGTCTCAATTATTCAAAATCTAAAATTGATTATCTCATACAAGAGGCAGGAGGTCTCAGTTGTCCAGCCCGCTGAAGCTGGCTCGAAAGAAGCAGCGTATAGTATCTCAAAGAGACTATTATAAGTGACAAGGAGGGACAGGTGAAAAGCAACAGAAACAAAGACACTCGAACAAGACACGGGACGTCGGCCTCCCGCACTAGAGAGACAGAGAAGGGAAATGTAAGAAATCCTACCTACATAATAACTTAATGCAAAGAATCCTACCTACATAATAACTTAATGTAAGGAATCCTACCAACATAATAACTTAGTGCAAGGAATATAAGGAATCCTACCTACATAATAACTTAACCCCACAACTGAGACCTGCAGTCAGACACCGCGAGCTCAGCGGTGGGGCGCTCAGGAACAATCCCCTTAGGAGCGCGGAATCCCATAGGACTTCTAACGAGCACAGACACGCGTCAGAAGTCCCCTCTGAGGAGACAAAGACATCAGATTAAAGGTAAATATTAATGAAAAAAAACGAATATTTCTATGATTGCTTGAAACATCTTCATAATCTGCAAATATACGAGTAGATTTCACAGTCAAGAGCTCGATCATTTTTATTTTAAATTTCCACCGATTACACTATTTTGACCGAAAAAAGTTAC